ACAAGGCACCAAAGATCAGTGTCAAGTAAAGTCAAGTTGAGAGAGACATGCTGGCACCATGTTGGCAAAGAATCTAGTCGAGGCTTCTGCATACATACTTGCACCTGCAGGCTGCATGGCTATACTAGCTTCAGCGGAGTACACTCCCTCAGTCTCCAGCCTTGTGACATTGAAGCGCGCGAGCGTATGCCCTGCAACGCTCACCTGCGCGAGCACAGCCGCGCACAAGCGCATGATTCTACAAAACAAATGCCCATCTAAAGTCTTGAAGCCCAGAGCATAGATAACACATTCACAGAACTATACAGAAACAAAGAAATTTTTTGCCTGGAGTGGTAATGGACAGGCTCTGCATTGTCTAAGTTATCAGGCACTGGTGTGCGCAGCTGCTTGCAGAAGTGTTTCAAAATTAGTTGAATGCATCATCCAATGTGTGTACGATCACACATCAGGAAAATCATCCCACGCGTTTTTGCGCAGGATAAATCTGGGACCATCCAAATTAGTGACAGGCTCCTGCTCAGAAGTAGGGTTCGAGTGCGCCAGTTTCCTCTTCTTCTCGGGGATAAATGCAGGCGGCGCCATCACAGGCATAACTTCACAGCTGGTGGTAACTTTTGCGCCACCGCTGGGTACCGCCATGTCTACAGGAGTTACATTGGAAGAAGCCTGCAAGGCCCTTTTCTCACGGTTCAGCTTCTGTTTGCTAATCTCAGCGTGGAGCAATTCCAGAGCCTTCTTGATGGACTTCTGCAGCCTCTTGGCTTGTGGCCAGGCCTCATCTAAGCAATGTAAATTGAAGACAAACGTACGCAAACCAACAAAAACTGTGCTTGCCAAAGCAGACCTCATCAAGACATATAATTTAAGCCCACTGCCGAGTCTTCCAAACGTTTGGCTGCACTCTCCAACTTTGAAAGGGGCCACGCAGAAGGCCGAGCTCTTTGCGTTCTAAGTACGGTCTGCGCAGTGCACATGAGTCGCATCGGCACGGCTTGAACTGTCACATTATGAGCCCAGCTGTGAAAAGACCGGTGGACATGTTCAAATACAATGGGGCAGCGATGGATGGATGAACGATGCAGGCTTGAACAGGTCACCCAGGTTGAGACGATGTATGATTATACAACGCACTAAGCTGGAGAATTTAGGCGAACCCTCAAGATTCTTGCAACATCATACAAGGTATTCATTTTCTTTCATTCTGAGTAGAAGCTCTGAGGGGCCACGAGGATGCCTTTTTCCTCCTGTTTATATACAAGGCCACCTTTCAGACAAGAAGTGTCCACAAACCTCTGCACATCGGATTCCCGAAAGCGGTTTGGGCTGACTCTATCAAAACAAGTCACCAAAGTCAAATCATTGAGGCCATACCTGACATGGGCATCAACTCTACCGACCACAGCAGGGTCTGTGACCATCACGATGTCACCCACTGCGCATCGATGCGCCATGTCACGAACCAGAACAGGTGAAGTGTTCCATGGAACCTTCACAATCTGGAAATGTTCCATGAATGGCCTGGTGAATGCATCGCCTGCAGGCTTGAAAGCATCCTCGGCCATTTCCCTGAGGTCATGCCAATGGGTCAAAGTGACCTCTCTCAATAATGCTTTCTCCATGCCCTTTGCTCCGCTGTGCTGTTGGTCAGCCCACCTGGAAAGCAGATATATATGGGTGATTCGATTACACATCTCTCGACATCAGACATAGGATTTTGTTTACATGTTCACCTGGCCTCTTCAAAATCTTGTGGCGTCTTTCGTGGACAAACATGTCCAAAGCGCTCCATGTCGTTGAAGCTGCATAGCCAAATGCATTGCCAGGTGGTGCTTCGGAAGCACGTGTTGGTCACCGTGACATGCCTGCAGAGCCGGCGCACAAGGCATAAACATGTGACCTTGACTGAGCAAACATCATACATAGACCCCAAGGCCAAGTGATATTTTGTTGCAAGAACATGTTACGCAGCAACGGGCCTTGAAATATTTCAAGTGGGCTTCGATCTTGCTCTTCAATTCTGCTGGAGTGATGGCCCCCACAGCTGCAGGCTTCAAGGCATCCAGGACGTCGCAACAGAGATAGTAGCTGTTGATGGCCAGCTGTAATTCATGAGGGGGGGTCTCGGATCATGTTTTGTAAGTATGACCGGAGTACTGGGTAAATTGCCAGAGCATCCGAGCTGCTGCATTTAAACTCTGAATCCGTTTCTTTTTTCTTTTGGAACACCACCCTTGCAGAGCAGGATTTGCCCCCGTCAACTTTAGGCCAAACGAAAGCTGTAGAGAACTCATGTAAAGCAACTTGCCTGAATCCGTTGCTCTGCAGGCAATTCATGAGAAGGCCTGTTTCTCTGTGCCATATTCCTGCCACTAGGTACACGTGCATACTGTCATAACAAGCCACTGAGACTGGCCTGAGGTGTTCTCTTAGAGGAATGTCCAGCAGCGCCCCATCTGGGCAATAATTCCATCCTAGCCGCACCTCTTCATCGGCGAATTTCTTCTTGCTGAGTCCGGGCAAAGCTGCTTGATGCTGCAAGTGGTCAACGATAGCCCAGACGCTCTGGTCGGTCGACAGCGTGAAATTGTCACTGTTGTGTTCCGTATGCAGCACATACCTTGGGGGCAAGGGAGATGGAGCCAGCCGTTTGTGGCAAGTGGTCTGGCACATCATACAGAGCATACGCCCTTGCACTCAAAGGCCTGCTTCAGCGCCGACTCATCTGCCAAGACGCCGCACAGTTCAAAACAGCAAAATTGGGGCTTGCCGCCCACCTGAAGAGAAATTCCCTTGCCCATGTGGCCACCGTCTTGGAAAAAAAGCTTTATGCACTCACCAAACAACCGAGACATTCCACCTCGAATTTTGTTCACCGTTTCAGTTCTCACTGCCGTTAAGACTGTCCAGGCATGTTCCTGGGTGAGCTGCAAGCCGCCGTACTGCTTGATGGCATAATATATGGCTTGAAGTTTTCGTCGGTTTGTAACTTTTAATTGATTTC